GAGCCTGCCGAAAGCGCAAACCTGTGTCTTCAAAGGGAGTGTTACCCCATCCAGCACAGGCTGAATTCCCTGTTCGGCCTTCCGACTGACCAAGGGCACCTCTGTCATGTCTGGATTAAATTTCAATTTGCTCACTCTTGTCCAGTCCATTAAGGATGACAGACACAGGCTTAGAACCAAGACAGTTTCCTTGGATTTAAGAGGAAATGCCTTTTAAAATGGCAATATATGAATGTGGCATTTTCGATGTCATATACTCTCCATCAGAAAGGAATCATTTTGTTTCTGAAACATTAAGAGAGAGAAAACACATTACTGATCTTAAGTGGGGGACGGGTATTGTGCTTGCCTTATCTGTTCCCAGGCAGCACGCCCTGATCATATCACACACTGTAAGTTAAAGAAAGAACAGTTATGTAGCCTGGATCCATTACTGTCACTAGAGGCCCAGGTGAGCTCTGTGACAAGGAGGGAATTCCAAAACTTGCTTGGTATGTCAGCTATGCCCTTTCCTGGACAGGGATGGCTTGGCCAGTGTGATCCATATACTGGTGACCTTACAGCAAGGTTTTTGTAATTATTATCAATTACAAGCCTATTAGAAGTCAATGTATTTTTTTTCCTTACTGCAATCCAACTTGAAGAGCTTCCACATTCTTGGACTTTTCCATTCCTTGCAAAGTGTTTGCAACAACTGAGAGACATCGGTCATCAAATTCATTGAGACGTTCCTATTCAAAGCACAAGAAAACCCGGTTTTCAGCAATCTTTCACGTAAAGGGAGCACGTCTCCTCAGAAGTACGTCTGAGAACTGCAGCCTCAAGGACAGTTATTCATTCCAAATTTTACCATTTAAACAAATATTAAACAAATGCATTTTCAACTCCAGCTTTACCATGACTCAATTACGGCGAATTAACAAAGTGTACTTGTTTGGTGCGATTACTCCTTATTTACTGTTGTGTTCTTCAAACTGTAAGTATGGCGATTCTTACAATGTGGAAATTCCCGTGTGCAAAATGTGCATTAAGAAGTTAACAGGAGCCTTCAGCAACACCCTGTCCACCAGGAGGACTTGCCACGCCTCTGATGGTCTGCGTATCTGGCAAGTTTCTACTGCTATGGGGAAAGAGTCACAAACATGCAGTGCCACATCACTACCTTGCATTTTTCACAGGGCTGCTATGCCAACTGCTAGGCGGTTCTCTCATTCTCCTATCTATCCTTAAAGAGCAGGTGGAGAACAGAGTTCACAAGACTGTGTGCCTCAGAGGTAACAGATAGGAGAGTTTGAAAAGGAATGAGCGTTAGGGCTGCTCTATGACCTATTTTACCCAATTATGAGAATGTATGTGGGAGAACTTTGAAAACCAAAGTATTCATTATAAAATCATTAGTTTAGCTTGCTAGAGTTTCCCTGCCCATGCCAGATGAATGGCCCCATTGACAAGTCTGGAGCTCAATTCACTACTATATACCGTATTTTTCACTCTATAGGACGCACCGGGCCACAAGACGCACCTAGATTTTAGAGGGGGAAATCAAGAAAAAAAGCCTGTTCGCTTCTCCCAGAGCTTCTCAGGGCTGCGGGGGAAGCACGCCCCCCCCCAGCCCCAAAGAGCAAAGAAGCCAAGGCAGCGAGCGGAATCCATCCCGCTGTCTGTCTGGGCTTCTGCCATAGCCGCGCAACCTCTCCAGCCGGGAGCTAAACCTCTCCAGTGCGGCTAAAGAAGCGTGGCTAAAGAAGCCAAGGCTTCCCGCTGGCTGCCATGGCTTCTTTAGCCTTGCGCAGCCTCTCCCGGCTGGAGAAGCTGCACGCGGCTATGGCAATTCCCCCACCTCCCGCAAAAGCACCCTTTAAGGAGCGTGCGGCTCCTGCTGGCTTTTCTACGAGGAGGGAGAAGGGACTGACTGGCGCGAAGCTTATGTGCGGCTCTTGGGGGCTTTTCCTGCCTGCCTCCCCCCTGCATTCGCTCCATAGGACGCACAGACTTTCCCCCTTAGTTTTTAAGAGGGAAAAAGTGTGTTCTATGGAACAAAAATACGGTTTCATCCCTTATGTTCAGTGCAAGACTATAGAATTTCTGTGACTTACCTGGCATACCCTCAGCAAGGTCTGAACCAACCGGGTGTTCTGTGGGACGCCCAGTTTCACCACAGCTAGCAGGCTGTATGCCAAGTCATCACGCCACATGTATTTGGCCTCCTGCATCACACACTGACAGACCTGGCTAAACTGTGGGTGCTCAAACATCAACCGTCTCTCATAATGTTTCTGATCCTCCGAGAGCTTTTTTGTGAGCGTCCACATAGTGGCAAGAAAGTTACTGGCGTACTTTGGAGCATCTGGAAATTTTGAAGCCAGGTCTAGTACATCACTGGGAGATGCACATTTTTGAAGGTCCTTAAAGAATTGCTGGGGCGTGTTTTCTTCATCCTTTTCTTCCGCTGTACTTCTGACTTCCTTTGGGGATCCCAAGAAACCAGATGGAAGTTGGGTGGGTGCAACAGTCATTAGGTCAGGGCCTTGCACATGGTCATCTAAAAGGGCATCAGCAGTTTTCTGTTCATTTGCATTGGTACTGTCTGCATTAATACTTAGGGTACCTTGCGAAAAAAATCTAACAGATGATTGCAGCCGGCAAGGAGATGCATAAGACAGGAGTCGCCTCGGGTAAATACTGTGTGCAGCACTTTTAGGCCCATCAACCCTCAGTGCAAACGCTCTCCTTGTGGTTCTAGAAAAAGGACTCTGTGCATAATGACATGCCTGCAGCTGTCTCACTGTCCTTAGAAAACAATCCAGGTTCTTGTTCATTTTGCTCTTTAGCGCTTTATGATGACTTGTTCAAAGAAAACAACTTCCTAAAATTCTCAGAACACAAATAAGGCAGTCAGAAGTAGGTCGTGTAGATTACCTGCTAAATGAATTCAAAATGTTAGTTTCATGAACATAATACACTTGCAATATTACCATCAAATGTACACATACTTGGTGCAGTATGCATATGTGTATATATGTGTGTGTATATATACATATATGTGTGTGTGTGTGTGTGTGTGTGAGAGAGAGAGAGAGAGAGAGAGAGTGTGTGCGTGTGTGTGTGTATGGTGGCATTATATTTTAATTTTCTTCTGTGAACCACCCTGAGACCTCCAGGTATAGGGCAGTACATAAATATATTATTATTGCTATTATTACTATTATTATTATTATCATCATCATCAAAACAAAAACAAAAAAAATCCTTCCAGTAGCACCTTAAAGACCAACTAAGTTAGTTCTTGGTATGAGCTTTCGTGTGCATGCACACTTCTTCAGATACACTGAAACAGAAGTTGCCAGATCCTTCTATATAGTGAGAAGGTGGGGAGGGGTATTACTCAGAAGGGTGGTGGGAATGGGTGATTGGCAGATAGCCAATACCCCTCCCCACCTTCTCACTATATAGAAGGATCTGGCAACTTCTGTTTCAGTGTATCTGAAGAAGTGTGCATGCACACGAAAGCTCATACCAAGAACTAACTTAGTTGGTCTTTAAGGTGCTACTGGAAGGAAAATTTTTTTTTGTTTGTTTTATCATCATCAAAATCACTCTAAGAAAAACACAATCACATCTTAAATGGCTTGATCTTTTCCCAACACAGAGGGGTGCCCTATTGTAGCTCTGATCCAAATGCGAGAGAAAGGAAAACTGGCAGGAAGACTCAACAAACTTGGCAGCAGACCAGGCAAGGAGACATGGAGACTCCACTCCCATGTAAACCAAATTCAACATTTTGGGAGCGTAGAAGAGAAAGAGAAGCCTTAGTTGCAGCATAGGCAACACCTTGGTGTAATCCATAATAGACCCAGGCCACGCGCCTCCGCTCCCCCCCCTCCCCCTCAGGAACCGCGAGGGGAGGCGGCTCCGGCGCCGCTCTCTCCGCCTACCCCTCACCTGCCGGGGTCTCCTCACATGGGCGCCGCCATTACGCCAGGCTGGCACGTGACCCGCGCCGGCGAGTGAAGTGGGCGGGGCGAGACGGGGAGAGAAAGGAAGCAAGCCTCCCTCGAAGGTACGGGTGCCCGGAGCGGACAAAATGGCCTCTTCCGGCTCGGTCAGGCCGCGCGTTCCTGGTTGCCTGGCAACCGCCCCGCTCTCCTCCGGCCCAGCTCCCGAGGCGCCCGCGCGAAAACACACCCCTGTTGTTGTTGGGGGGTTTTTCTTTGGGGGGGGGGAATGGCCAAATTCGTGCTCGCAGGTGAGGCGGCTCCGCCATGGAGTCACACACACACACATGCACACCGTCCTGCTCGGGTTTCGCAGGGCTGGGCTGTCTCGCGCCCCCTGAGCATGCACAGAGCGCTGCACTCCCGGCAGTCGCTCTGGGGTGAGGAATGAGTTTGCCGGGCGAGTCGAAGCAGGAATGAATCAAGAGGAGGCTGCTTCCCTCACCTGTGCGTCCAGGCACACCCCTCTGTTAGGAAGCAGATCAACCCAGTTAATACACGGTTGTGTTTTTCTTAGAACGATTTGTTTTTATTATTATTATTATGGGTGTGGGTGTGTGTGTATAAAATAATAGGGGCAATCTGCCTTTCCTGGAAAGTAAGCAGGCAGCAAGTATTCATAAGCTTGTGAATATACCGGTATATACTGTATTCACTCCTTTGACTTCACAAGCTTATGAATACTTGCTGCCTGCTTACTTTCCAGGAAAGGCAGATTGCCCCTATTATGCTAAGGCGGATATATATTCCACCTTCTTTCTCTGGCAGGACCTCAAGGCAACTACAGTAACAGATAAAAATAAACAAAAAAAATTCCTTCCAGTAGCACCTTAAAGACCAACTAAGTTAGTTCTTGGTATGAGCTTTCGTGTGCATGCACACTTCTTCAGATACCATACCAAGCTCATACCAAGAACTAACTTAGTTGGTCTTTAAGGTGCTACTGGAAGGAATTTTTTTTGTTTTGACTATGGCAGACCAACACGGCTACCTATCTGTAGATAAAAATAAGAACAGCTAAAAACATGGCAGGGAGCCGGAAACAACAACAAATAAGAAACAAACCTTAAAAGAATTAAAACTATACTACAGTGATCGCCTTTCTGCTGTTAATGACACTGTGACTAATTTTCATTTTGTACCCCTCAGTCAGTTTCATTGGACGCTTCTGAGCACCTGCTAATGTTTATTTGTTCATTCATTAGGATGGAGCAGGAGCCCCGTTAGATCCGTGAAGGGGACATGAAGCCACAAAGATCCGGCCCTATTTCTGTCTAGGCCAGTATCCTGCCCACCAGATGCCTCTGGGAAAGCCTGCAAGCAGGACTCAAGATCCCTTCCTTCCTTCCTGCTTGCGATTCCCAGCAGCCGGTGCTCAGAGGCATACTGGTTGCCTCCAACAGTGGAGGGAGAACATTGTGGCTAGCAGGCCCTGATCACTTAATCAGCCCTCAGCTAATTTGCCCAAACTCCTTTTCATCTAAACCACTCTAGCTGTCACTACATCTTATGGCAGGAAATTCAAGGAGTTGACTCAGTAGAAACTTGCAGAGCGGGGTGCATGGAAGTCGTGCTTGGGGAAGTAATTGCATTCTTGCTCTGCCCCGGTTATCATCCCCCTTTGCAGTAAGCGTTCACTCCTTTGACTTCATGAGCTTATGAATACTTACTTGCTTTCTTACTTTCCAGGGAAGGCAGATTGCCCCTATTATGCTAAGGCAGAACTCCTTGCTGATTATTTGCAGAAAAATCTGCCTCACTTCAGGATACACAAGATTACTCAGCATCCAGACAACTGGGAGGTAAAATATATCCATGTGGTTCACTAGTGCAGTAATGAGACACCTCGCAGGGCTGGTCCTGTCATTAGGGATAGTGAAACGTAGTGATTATGTTTTTGTAAATGATGTTAATTTATGGTTGGTGGTGTTAGCCATCTTGACCTTTTTATCAGGGAAGGTGGGGTACAAATATTTTACATAAATATGTGATGTGATGTGGGCAAACCTGTAATGGCCTGGTATTTCTCTAGCACACTTATGCTCCCTAGATGGAAGTGTATAAATGGACAAGCACCAACTTATATGGGCACAGTGCCTCTGTTGACCCTTTTGGGGATATAATTCTATTTCTTTTGCCTTCTTTCTATTGAGAAATTATAGCCTTGGTGCTGAAGGAGGCTCTTGGTTGAAGTGTTTGAAATCCTGCCCACTAGTGGGTGCATCTGTATATTTGACTAGCATGCTGCTTTGCTAAAAAGTGTGTTGGCTAAAGCTTTCTTAAATTTCCTGAAGCAGTACTGGTCCACATTGGTCCTTTCATACATTCAAGCAGACATCGGTCTGCATTTTTCCCCTCACTGCAGCTTCCAGTTCAATGCACTTGCTTGCAACTAATCCATAAATGCCTTATTAATGTATACATTCAAATTAGCATTAGATGCACAGGTACAAAAGCCTGTTATAAAATATGAAGGGAAAGTGTTTGGGCGTATCATCTTGGGAAATTACTGTTTCAGTATTGCCTTGAAAGCTTTTTCTGGATTTAACACGTTAACAACACATTTCATGCTTGCTTTGGGGTATTTTGCTTCTAGAAGTGGCTGCAGGAGATCTGTGAACAGAATGGATGGAAACATAAGCGCTCTCCAATTATTTGGAGGGAATTGTTGGACCGTGGAGGAAAGGGACTTCTTCTGGGAGGATTCAATGAATTCCTTGAACACGCCCAGGTCTGCTTCTTCTTCTTCTCTTCTTGTCTCTACACTTAGTGAGTATTCAGTTGGCTAAATAATATCCCATCTCCCAACAAAGTACTGCAATCAGAAGAGTGCTTATGACAGAGATAGTAAATGCGAACTTATATTACTTTGTAACCACACTAGAATCACACTCAAAGACCATTGTTGTTGTTGTTGTTTAGTCGTTTAGTCGTGTCCGACTCTTCGTGACCCCCTGGACCAGAGCACGCCAGGCACTTCTGTCTTCCACTGCCTCCCGCAGTTTGGTCAAACTCATGCTGGTAGCTTTGAAGACACTGTCCAACCATCTCGTCCTCTGTCGTCCCCTTCTCCTTGTGCCCTCCATCTTTCCCAACATCAGGGTCTTTTCCAGGGAGTCTTCTCTTCTCATGAGGTGGCCAAAGTATTGGAGCCTCAGCTTCAGGATCTGTCCTTCCAGTGAGCACTCAGGGCTGATTTCCTTAAGAATGGATAGGTTTAATCTTCTTGCAGTCCATGGGACTCTCAAGAGTCTCCTCCAGCACCATAATTCAAAAGCATCAATTTTTCGGCGATCGGCCCTTTTAATGGACTTCCAACTTCCTTCAGGCCTAAGCAGCATAGTCTGTGGTTAGGAATGGTGGGAGTTGTAGTCCAACAACATCCAGGGACGGACACAAGTTCCCTGTCCATGTCATAAGGAGCTTGGAAAACCTACCATAATCAGAGAGAAGTTTTGATTACTGAGGACACTGGGAAAGGGCAACGAGGAATGAGTTCAGGCTTAATTTGATTATCAGGAAAGTATTCCTAAACATAGGGATTGTCTATGGCCTTGGTTATTTAAATCTAAAGAAGACTGCTACTGCAATGGACTGGCCATGGTAATGATAATGATACAGTGGTACCTCGACTTAAGTACTTAATTTGTTCCGGAGGTCCGTTCTTAACCTGAAACTGTTCTTAACCTGAAGCACCACTTTAGCTAATGGGGCCTCCTGCTGCTGCTGCGCCGCCAGAGCAAGATTTCTGTTCTCATCCTGAAGCAAAGTTCTTAACCCAAGTTACTATTTCTGGGTTAGCGGAGTCTGTAACCTGAAGTGTATGTAACCCGAAATATCACTGTACTGCTGTATTCTGCTTTGATCAGAACCCACATAGTATAATTTAGGAAGGATATCAACAAACTGAAGCATGTCTAGAGGGCAACAATTGTGAGGAGCTTATATGGCAATAAATATCGAGATCAAGTCCTGCAAGGAAAGGTTGTAGGAATTGGCTGTGCTTAGCCTGAAAAAAAGATTACTAAGAAGCAAAATAGTAGCCATTTTCAAAAATGAGGTCCAGTGCCGAGGGACTTCTGGCAGTTCCCTCACTGTGAGAAGCCAAGTTACAGGGAACCAGGCAGAGGGCCTTCTCGGTAGTGGCACCCGCCCTGTGGAACGCCCTCCCACCAGATGTCAAGGAAATAAACAACTACCAGACTTTTAGAAGACATCTGAAGGCAGCCCTGTTTAGGGAAGCTTTTAATGTTTGACGGACTATTGTATTTTAATACAGTGGTGCCCCGCAAGACGAATGCCTCGCAAGACGGAAAACCCGCTAGACGAAAAGGTTTTCCGTTTTTGAGTTGCTTCGCAAGACGATTTTCCCTATGGGCTTGCTTCGCAAGACGAAACGTCTTGCTAGTCTTGCGATTTTTTCCCCGCTCCCCCCCCCTTTTTCTAAGCCGCTAAGCCGCTAATAGCCTTTTAGCAGCTAAGCCGCTAAGCCTTTAATAGCTGCTAAGCCGCTAAACCTCTAATAGCGCTAATCCGCTTAGCCGCTAATAGGGTTGCTTCGCAAGACGAAAAACCACTAGACAAAGAGAATCGCAGAACGGATTCTTTTCGTCTTGCGAGGCACCACTGTATTTTGTTGTAAGCAGCCCAGAGTGGCTGGGGAAACCCACCCAGATGGGCGGGGTATAAATAATAATTAATAATTATTATTATAAATATTTGAAGGACTGTCACACTAATGATAAATCACATTTGTTTTTTGTTTTTGTTGCTCCAGAGGGTAGGAACCAAACCAAATAACCTGAAAAGTATTTAGACTAAACATTAGAAAGAACTTCCTGATGGGACAAACTATTTGATAGTAGAGGCTGGATGGTTGCTGTAGTACTGTAGTGGGTTACTTGCTTCAGGAGGGGTTTGGACTAGATTACTTTGGAGGATCTTTCCAGCACCAGTGATTTGATGATGATAGTAAATTATTATTTCTTTTCTACCAGCATACTTGGAGCATCCATCACAGATGGAACTTAATGAAGGATTTCCCTATTCTGTCCCTTGGTTCCTCCCCCCCTCCCCCAAACACACACTTTTTTTAAAAAAAAGGTATTGTTCTTCAGATTTTTGATTAAATGGTGATAATGTCTGAGCCATATTTGGATGCCCGCTGATGACTCTTTTTAATCTTCAGCAATACTATAACATCACATCCGACATGATGACTGAACAGATGCTCTTAATAGCCAAGGAGAACTTGCAGACTCACATAGTGATTGACCAAGAGGAGGAAGAACTTAAAGGCCTTATCAATCCATTGCACATTTGGATAAACAGGTGGGAAAGATGAAAAGAAACTGCATAGGGAATCTCAAAAACTTAAGTCTGATCCTTTGCTTTTTAAACAATGCAGCTGTCAGGGAACCTGGAAAATTAGCAGAATCCGGAACCTGTACATGGCAGTCTATGCTTGTAACACAAAGATCCACATTTGTATATATGAGCACCTACAGCGCAGACCCTAATTCCCATTTTTAATTTTCCAACTGCAGTGCCTTGCATTTCATCAAAGATCTCAACATTTCATCAAAGATCCCTTACCTTTCCCGCCCCGACCTGGCCACAGTGATCCATGCGATGGTCACCTCCAGGCTTGACTACTGTAATTCGCTCTACGTGGGGCTGCCCTTGAAGCTGTCCCAGAAACTCCAGCGGGTGCAGAATGCTGCAGCGAGGCTCCTCACGGGGTCCCTGCCATGGGAGCATATTCACCCAGTGCTTTACCAGTTGCACTGGCTCCCGGTGGAGTATTGGGTCAGGTTTAAGGTGCTGGTTTTGACCTTGAAAGCCCTTTGTGGCTTAGGGCCCTCATACTTACGGGACTGCCTCTCCTGGTATGCCCCGCAGAAGACCTTAAAGTCCATGAATAATAATAGTTTAGAGGTCCCGGGCCCTAAGGAAGTTAGATTATCCTCCACCAGGGCCAGGGCCTTCTCAGTGATGGCTCCGACTTGGTGGAATGCTCTGTCCCATGAGACCAGGACCCTGCAGGATCTAACTTCCTTCCGCCGGGCCTGTAAGACAGAACTATTCTGACTGGCTTTCAATTTGAACCTGGCCTGGTCTTTTGTTCCTCTTCCTTCCCTCCCCCTCCCCTTTTTGTGAAGATTGCCTGCTCTGGGATCCCACAGCTGGTTCTCCCCTGGTCTCCTCGCTGGCCCAAGTGGGACTAATTTAGCCAGCTAGCCCTGGTGATCATCTAATGTTTATTGGATGGATTTCCCCCCTAAATTGATTTTTGATTTTATTGTTTATGCTTTATACCATATTTTATGCTGTTTTTGTTTTTTGTTTTTGTTTTTGTAGCATCAATTAAGTGTTTTAAATTTGTTGTTAGCTGCACTGAGCCCAGTTTCCTGAACCGGGAAGGGCGAGATATTATTATTATTATTATTATTATTATTATTATTATTATTATTATTAACAGCCCCAGAGTTTGGGAAGTGAGATATATATGTATACATAAAATAGTGGGTTAAAAAAAAATCACCCTTATACCAATACTTAATCAATTAATCATGGCATTGATCAAAAGCATCAGAGAAATTTATTGGTCTATTTACATCTAGGTTGTTTTTTTTAAAAGGTGTAATGTCTACATGTATCAATATGTTAAAATTAGAATATAAAGATAGTTCTGGGCATTCAAGCAGTGAGGAGCTCATGGCATGTTTGGCAAGAATTCTTGGGCTTATGGGATAACACTAACTTTGCCATATACTTGGAGAAGTAATTACTTCCTTCAGCATCCATAGGCTGTTCTCGCTGCTCAAATTCTCCATGTTGTCTTCAATGCCCTGCCCCTTCATTCCACCTTTTTTTTTTTTTGAGTCATTCTTTGTATAGCATTTATTTGAACAGCCAACCCCCGGTGCCCACCCTATCCCCCAACAGGAGGAGGAAGAGAAGAAGTATTTTAGGGATCCTTGTCTACATTCATGTCACCATCATCTGATTCTGCCCCAATGTGAATGATATTTGTATATTCATCTCAGCGCTGTAATTTAATACCACGACACTGTTAGGAGCAGAAAACAAAAACTTTCAAACATCAGAGCCAATCAGGCCACGTTTGCCTATGATTTCGCCGATGTAAAACCACATTAGCACTTCGGTGTGGGTTAAATCACATAGCCAAGGACTTGCCGATCAGAAGGTCGGCGGTTTGAATCCCCGCGACGGGGTGAGCTCCCATTATTCTGCCCCTGCTCCTGCCAACCTAGCAGTTCGAAAGCACATCAAGTGCAAGTAGATAAATAGGTACTGCTCCGGCGGGAAGGTGAATGGCGTTTCCGTGCGCTGCTCTGGTTCGCCAGAAGCAGCTTAGTTATGCTGGCCACATGACCTGGAAGCTGTACGCCGGCTCCCTTGACCAGTAAAGCGAGATGAGCGCCGCAACCCCAGAGTCATCCGTGACTGGACCTAATGGTCAGGGGTCCCTTTACCTTTACCTTTACCTTTAGCCACCAAGCCGTTCCTCAGAGCTTCCTTGACCGTGAACTGTCTGATGCTTCCACTTTTATCCATTCTGGCTCCTTATGCCCACCCCCTCAGCTTCCTTACTCTCTACTTTCTTTCTGGTTTTAGTTTTGACTTACTGGAAAGCAGTCCTATAGGGTACAGCCATAGGCTACAGCCGATCTCCCATTCCACCCGCAGAGTGGGAAATCCTTGGGAGACAAAGAAAGTCTCTCCGCATGAGTTTTCCTGCTGTGGGAGCGGAAATCTCAGCTAATGCAGTAACAGCAAAAGGGGTGTGCCAGTGGCAGACCAGAGGAGGCTTGGGGTCCACTGGATCCAAAGACCTTGTGTCCTCGCCCCCCCCAAACTGAGGTTGGGAAAAGTGTACAGCCCAGGATCTGGAATAGCGATTTTCCCACCATGGAAAGTTTTTTATGTTGCACACTGCCTTGCTGTATTTTCTATGAATGTGTGATTGTTAAATGTTTACATCAAGAAGCAAACAGCAAGCGACAGAATGGAGAGAGGAGAGAAAATGGCACAGCCACCGTCCCACCTGCCCCACACTTGGCTTGCACAAGTCCAGCAGGCCTTTAGGTCTGGCTGTTCAGCAGCCACAACTCCTCCCTCCCCTGACCTAGTCCGTTAATGTTATTAAGCAGCTTTTCCTGCATTCTCACTGCAGAATTGCTATGGAATGACTATTGTTGGGGGATCAATCTCAGTAGTCTATCAGCCTATGTGACTGTTAAGTCTTCAGTGTTAAGTTGTTGTTGTTTTAATAAAAAAAAGTAGGTTATAATTTAGAAAAATCAAACACTTATGCAGTTAAATTAATGTAGTCTGTAACCACATAGCTTAAAAATAACTCAGCTTCAATGCCTGCTGTTAGAAGATAATGTCACTAGATTTCATGGCAAGGTATCCTTGTTCATTTCTTCTAATACAAGCACTAAGAGTTGATTACTGAGGACCATGAAAACCTGTGGAATAAAAAGATTTTTTTGGGGGGGGGGAATAGCTCTCCTCTGCATAAAACCAGTGTTTGTTTGTTCATTGCTAACTACTTTTCTTATCTTAACAGAGCATCAGCTAGTATCTGCTATCATCTGATCCCTTTGTTAATCAATGGGGAAATATTTGGAATGGAAACCGAGATCAGCCTCCACTTGCTTGACAGAAAGGGCTGCGAAGAACTTCTTGAAGTTATCGTTATGGAGACTGAGGACTTGGCATCCCCTGTCCTTCGTGGTATCACTTTGTACACTGAACTGGACGACCAGACTTTTCTCGAAGCTGAAGTCATCATTTTGCTTGATGACGTCCTTCAAGAGGCAATCCCGTCTCATGAGGAATGCATCCAGCAAGTTACCACTCAATGTGAAATATATGGTCCTCTGATAGAGAAGAATGCCAGAAGTCATGTCAGGGTTGTTGTGATGGGGAAAACCTTTGTCAACCTTAAGGCGTTGATGCTTATTACACATGCTCCGTCCATCAACCCTCAGAATATCGTCACTGTATCCCTGCTCTTGGAAAATGAAGCCAAGGCCATGCTGGCGAGAAAAATGGGGATGCATCCAGCAGGTGTGTAACAAATGATTGCAGATTGACTAATGTTTATTTAGTTATTTTGGATTGTTATATTGACTTGCCTCAGGGCAAATTATGTTAAGCAAATGAAAAAATAAAAATAACATAGAAGCACACATCCATACTAAAACCCACAAAAATAGCCAAGGTTTAAAATATTCTAGACCATGGGTAGGCAAACTAAGGCCTGAGGGTTGGATCAGGCCCAATCGCCTTCTAAATCTGGCCCATGTACGGTCTGGGAATCAGCGTGTTTTTACATGAGTAGAATGTGTCCTTTTATTTAAAATGTATCTCTGGATTATTTGTGGGGCATAGGAATTGGTTCTTTCTTTTTTTCAAAATATAGTCCGGCCCCCCACAAGGTCTGAGGTACAGTGGACTGGCCCCCTGCTGAAAATGTTTGCTGACCCCTGTTCTAGACCATACAGTCCGAAGTCACTACTGAACTTTCTCTGAAGGAAGCTCAGACTCTGATGCACTTTTAGGGAAAAGGCAATTCTGCAGTGTGACACTGCCTCTGAGAACGTATCTCTGCAAATCCTTTGCATGCATGCGGACTAGCCAATAGGCTGGCAGATCATAACGTTGGTCCATGCTAGAAGATTTCTCAGTTTGACTCAAGATAATCAAAGCTAGGGTGCAGTGGGAAAGGGGAACAACACAAGGAGGAATTTGACGTAGCGCTGTGTCAATCATTCCATCAACACAAGCTTTTCAGCTTGCCAGATGGAACAATCCCCACCCAGTGTGGTGTAGTGGTTAAGAGTGGTGGGCTCGTAATCTGGTGAACTGGGTTCGATTCCCCGCTCCTCCACATGCAGCTGCTGGGTGACCTTGGGCTAGTCACATTTCTCTGAAGTCTCTCAGCCCCACTCACCTCACAGAGTGTTTGTTGTGGGGGAGGAAGGGAAAGGAGATTGTTAGCCACTTTGAGACTCCTTAGGGTAGTGATAAAGCGGGATATCAAATCCAACTCTGCCTGTTGTGCGCTGTTCTGAGGTTCTCCTGACCTGCCCTAGAGCTAGTGGATGTCCTTCACTGGTGGAACAAATCTCATTGAATCTTGCCCATAATTTACAGACTCTCTAAAAGGTCTGCAGTTCCTACTATGGTGATCTCACCAGGCCTTAGTTAAGGGACCTTTAGGCCATTTTCTTGCCTCATGGGACACAACAAGCAGAAGGACATGTCTTTTGAAAGTAGTCCTTGGTAACAAGAGGCAAGTTAACTGTGCCACGTGAACGGTTACCATGATCAGTGGCTCCCAAAATCAATGGCTATGTTGAGCCTCTGGATTAGAGCCAATCGGCTTGAGGGAGCAACACCAGGGAATGGCTTTTGCCTTCATGATCTGCTTCATGTGGGCTTCCCAGAGACATCTGACTGACCACTGTGGAAAACAGGATGCTGAACTACATGCATCCTGCAGAACCTTTGTTCTGTTCCAGTGGGGTTTTCCCCTTCCGTTCTTACCTGTTATGCTTATGCCTCTTTTGATTGTTGTCTTCAACAGGAATAAAAAATCTCGTAGTCTGGGGTAATATCAGTGGGAACAGCTTCATCGATCTGAGTAAAACACAGCTCTATAGATATGACAGCGCCATCTGGGGCCCACCAAGCTTTTCCCGTGATTTGATGGATGTCCTCTTTGATCGGTATTTTTTGGTGATACTTTTGATTTTTTTAAAAACTGGCTTTTATGCCATCCCTCCGAAGAGTCCCTCCGAAGGTGTTTGCACCTTACGCATCGGCCCAAGACCTTTGCCTCTTTCGTAGTCTCTTGCATTTTACAACACCAAAGTCTACTCTACAGTGCTTTGGGGCATTGTGATGGTATCTGAAAAATCTTAAACAAAAAACTGAGAGCATGCAACTCCAAGGCTTGAAAAATGGAAAAAGTATTCATGTGCTAAGAAGCAGAAGCATTGTTCTTTTCAGGACTCAGTTCTCAGGACAAAATCCCCAAACTGAGCCCAGAAAGGCACAAGAATGCCAGTGCTTCCGTTTACCAAATGCAGCTTCCAAGTGAAAAGCAAAGGAAGTGTGAAAAAGAATATTCTAAATTAAGCTTCTCTCCTGATCTTTACTTCCACCAACAGAGAGAGCTCTGCTCCAAATCAAAGCTTCTTCAATGCACTTTTGAACCTCTGTGGCATGTTACATAAGGAGCAGCAGCATTACCTAAAACCTGATTTGGTGCTTTAAAGTTATTAAGGTCAAAGTATTTAATTAAGAACTAAATGGTCTAGTTGTGGCAAGGATCATAAGCAGCAATAGCTCCAGTGCTCTGTTAGAGTCATACCATGTAAGGATCTGAAACACATTTTCCCACCCAAAATACCGTAGTATTGTTACTATTATTTATTAAATTCGTTAAATGCTGGTTTCTAGATTTTGCCCTGAAGTACATCTATACAGTGGTGCCCCGCAAGACGAATGCCTCGCAAGATGAAAAACCCGCTAGACGAAAGGGTTTTCCGTTTTTGAGTTGCTTCGCAAGACGATTTTCCCTATGGGCTTGCTTCGCAAGATGAAAACGTCTTGCGAGTCTTGCGATTTTTTTTCGCTTCCCCCCCCCTTTTTCTAAGCCGCTCAGCCGCTAATAGCCTTTTAGCCGCTAAGCCGCTAAGCCTTTAATAGCCGCTAAACCGCTAATAGCGCTAATCCGCTAAGCCGCTAATAGGGT